AAAGCGTAACGACCCGTCCGTTGCTCTTCGTCCACCGAGTCGCTCTCGAGATCTTTCCGTTAGACCATTAATTTACGGCAGCTTCTCGCGAGCGTCGCGCCATCGTTGCCGAAGACCCGAGGGTGGCTCCGCGAGTCGCGAATCGTACCGGGTTCCCCGACCGACCGTTCGCTTCTCCGCGGGGAGAACGGATGGGCTCCCTTTTTGCCAAGCAAAGGTCGGTGTAATTATTTCCGTAACCGTTTGCGTATTCCGTCCGACGCAGCCACCTTGTTCGAGCGCGTTTTGCTCTTGTATGTTGGCGCCCGTTCTTATCGCCGCCGGAGTGGGCACCGGCGAGAAGAAAACCGGAGTCTTCTTGGTCGTGCATCCTCCTCGAGAGATCGCTCGGATATAGTCTAATGAGATTGTAAGGCTGTCCGTGGCCGTTCCACGGAACCACGCGCGTACGCGAGCACGCATGGAAACGCGCGAATAAAACGCCGGTGTTCATTGCGGAGATCTCCGAGCTTTTCTCCGCCGCCGCTCGTTTACATCCTGCCGGCGTGTACCGCAAAGGGCGAATGTTTATTTGCGAACGAGTCAATTAGCGAGATGAATCAAATCGACAGGGAGGATCTATCCGGATAAAATATTACGTCCCGATCGGTACCGACGCCGTACCGCGTTAATTAGTCGCAGCGTCGTTAAGAGTAGACGCTACCAGAGAATCGAATTCGGAGTGTCGTTCGTTCGAACGGAAACGACGAGGGAAAATTGCACGGGGCGAGGGCGTCCGATTCCTTCCCGACGATCGAGTCGAAGCAAAAGTTAAACCGGCACCCAACGCCGACACCGTAGGTACACCTTCGGCCAAGTTAGCGGAGCGTATCCCGCGAGGTGCATTGGGTTTGGATTCGCGCACACGGTAGCCGAACTGCAAGATGGCGATCAACCGACTGTAACGAGCGCCTCGATAAACAGCTCGATTATTTACCCACCCGGTTATTTCCCATTTTCCCGCTGGCCGACTCCGGACTGGAAAATGAATTTATCGCCGCGTGTCGCGGACAGCGCGAATCGACACAGAGGCTGAGTTAGACCCGATCGAAATACAGGCGTCTCGTTCGGCCGTTGCGAAAGGCCGAGCTAGCCGGATCTCGATGAAATTGTCCGAAGAAGTGGCGACCCGGTCTCGCGCGGTAAACCGAGGAGGCCTCTTCGCGGCTCCGATCTCGCCTAATCTTCGGCCGAGAACCGCATGCGGCGATTCATTGCGCAGTAAACACTCGCGAGACATACCGTCCCGGTGCCGAGACTTCCAGAGCCGAGCACCGTCCGTAGGAGTGACATAAAAGACTCGTACAATTTACATCGCGGGCCTGAATTCTCCCTCCCACGCCTTCGGGCACTCAACTGCCAGAGGGGCCTTTAAACCGCGTTCCAGGACGAACCGTTCGCCGAACCGATCCTTGGCCACGGCCGACGGCTCCCGGGAAACCGCTCGATCGGTTTCCCTTCCTTGAAGAGGCGCCGGGGAAATCGGCGCATCCGCCGATCTTCGGTCGGGGACTCGCTGAGTTACGGCCGTAAATAACGGGAAGGATTAAATCGACGGTCGTCGTCTCGCGAAACGGATAATTGGCCGCACGTCGGCATCCCGGCGCTCGGGTTAGCGTTTCGTTTCGAATCCGAGTCGTTGGACGGGCACCGCAAGTGGCACCGCGAGCGGCACTTCCGATGGTGGCGGGGAGAGCGCGTTTCGTATCCTCCGTCTTTCTGGATCCTGATAAATGCCCGTCCCCCTCTCCCTCGTCCTTTTTTCGAGTCCCCCATCTTCCCTCCAGTCCTGGGTGACACGATAAACGTAATTTATGCGGCGATCAATTACCGATCGCCTGGGAAACGCGTGTATCTCACCTCGACGAGCGTCGAACCAAAGAGGAGAAACCGAGCGGTCGCTTAGCCGCGGTTTGCCCGGGATAAATAGTTTATAATTAGACCGAGCCTGCGCCCATTGATCCCGACGACACCATTAACATCGATTCAGCCGGACTGTCGTTCGGTTAATCCGCTCCTTTGCTGGGCGCGGAGCTCGCGGGGTCCGGGATATTATAAGTGTCGTTACCTGGGAGTCGGCGCGGAGAAGATACCCGCCCGGCTTCTCGGAGAGATACGAGAATTATAGGGATCGTTTTATGGGCGGTAATTATTAATGAAATAATTCACGCGGAAGGCACTCGCCACGGCTGATGTAGGGGGCGGTGACGCGCGCGATAATTTGCAAATATTCCCCATTAGCGCGTAAACGTCCATCTAACCGCTTAATTCTTTCGGATGCGAACTCTCGTCGACGCGTCCCGTTCGATCCTCGTCGAGGAACGACTTCCTCGAGGTCGGTCTCCACCTCGACTTGACGGGCCTCGGAGCGGAGACGGAATATTTATTTCCGGAAGTTCGATCGACGGACGCGGATGGCAGTCGCGTGACAACGGTGGCGCCCATTTTTCACGTAAGTCGTTCCACGCCAAGTGCACCTGTCGTAAATACGCGTACTCGAGAGACCGTCCCCGGGAGTATCGCGGGCATCGATCGGCGAGGGCGTCTCTTGTTCGGCCCGCGGAACCTTGGTCGTCGAACAAGGCAGCAATTGTTCGTACGTACGCGCGCGTACTCGCGGCACGTGAAAAAAGTCCGCCACGATTGACCCATAGCGTGCATGTAATCCAGGGGCTGATTGAGGCCATATATGGTCAGCCTGGCAAATATACTCGGGCGTACGGACACCGACGCGCGCTCTCTGTGCACATCCGCGTCCGGATATGTACCTCGACATGCGCTCGCTCCTCGATACGCGTGTACGCAAAGCCGAGCGGACGTTTGCTCGATACGTACCCTCGTTATTGCATTCCACGTACGCACAGAAAATTAAAAACACGTACGTCTCCCGCTCGAAATACATTGTACGAAGCCTTTACTTTCGAGGGACTTTTTGCGTTATTACCAAGTAGCCTCGTCGGGTGCCCCCTAAAAAGGACGTGGGATCGCTTTGAGGTGCCGACGCCACTTTTTCTACATCGGGCCCACGGAATTGATGGGCCCGGTCCGATCGGTCGAGCGTTATTATCGGCGCCAATTTATTCCCGCGAACGAGATTCGAAGGACCGGCGCACGTGGCCGCGCGTACCCGAATCACCGGCGGTCGACGCGACGCGAATAAAAGGCCAAATGCGAAAATAACGAGGATCGACGTCTCGGAGGAAGCGTCGCCGGAAGGAGGACTCGAGAAAAAGCTCCCCTCGGAGCTGCGTCGCGGCGCGCGTCCTGGAGCGAATCCGCGGATCCCGAGCTCGGTCCTTTCTTCCGTCCATCCCGAGGTACGGTCCCTTCTCGAGGGGACGACCGATTTCCGGGTGGTTCCGTTTACGGTGCCCTCCGCGGGAAAGTTCCTCGCGACCGCGTTACGAATGGTCGGAGTAGGGCTCCGCTCGAACGCGAAATTACTTTTACAGCTACGCGTCCTTCGCGGTCCGTAATAAAAGTGCACACGGTACAGCCGGCGGGTGCACCGTGTCATTATTCGAGCACGGGGAAGGTCGACGTTTCGTTTTTTGAAACAGGCCACAGGCCGTGTCCGACGAGACCGGCACACGACTCGGACGCTGGTACGCGCGAGCGAGCGCTCGTTAAAACGCGCCGTTAAAGCTCGCTACGTGTGAAGTCTTATGCTCGATTTCACCGGCAACGAACAACTTTATTCGCAAGGTGGACGGTGGTTCGCGGCTCGATAACGCGCCTTAAATAATCATTAATAGAGTTAGCGACAACGGGCGCGTCCAGGCGGCGTAACTCGGAGCCAATAAAAGGCCTCGTTTGAATCTCAAAAGGCGAGCCGAATCGGAGCCCGCTGCTAATCGACTCGCCACTCGCCCTCGTTAGTTCCTCGCCGCCAATTTTCATTACCATAAAACAAAGTGCATCGCGAGTTAAGCTTTATTTACGGTGTCGGTCCCAACGGCGTTAAAATCGCCGAACGGGTTTCCGTTCGCACTAGGTACATCCGAAATGCACTAAACGTGTCTCGAGTGCGTTTCAGCATGCTGAACCTAAATTTACGAGCGAGCGTAGCCAACGGCGATTGCCTCGATTCGACTTCGAGCGGAGTTACCGCCGCGATGTAAGACTTTACACGTTGCAGATTCAGCCGGTGACTTTTAATGACCGTTTATGCGCGTCGCATAACTGTCGATTTCGAGGACACCGTTTTTCCTTTCGGTGCGATGTCGGAGTTACGTCGAGGGGCTGTGATTATGTCGTCACGCTTCGTTAAATTATCACCAGGTGTCTCAACTTCGAGGAGTCAAGGGCGGTCGAAACGAAAGTCCCTGCGATCGCTTTTAAGGAACGAGCAACTCGTTGCGCCCAACGATGGAAATTGGCTCCCTCCTGAAAACGCCCCGCGAGGCATCGGCGAGCGATCCGTGTCGGATTAAACGCTCGCCGTGCACCTCCGACCCGAAATTCGATGCGGCGCAGCGAGTGGATTATTTATGATTCGCGCCGCTAAATTAAATATCTCCCGGTCAAACGAACAACTTCCCTCGCACTCGGGGCTTATTTGCCGATATCATTGAATTAAGTGCAACAAGTGATACCGCATCGATCCGAGCCTACGTGCTCGTGAAATCGCGGAACGCTCGGTGACCATCGTCGAGGACGCTCGACCCGATTTACCTATGGCCAGAGTTCGCTACTCGATCGCGTTAAATCGTTCTAATTATACCCCCTGTACGAAGGAAATTGCAGAGGCCTTCTAGAGTGGCTCGCGATTCGGGGGGAAAAATGAATCGCGCGCCTTCCGGAAAGAAGCGACGACCGTCCGAAACGCGCGTTTCGCGGCTCGTGACGTTTCATTGTTCACGCGACGATTGCGGCGCATAAACACCGTTTAGATTAATGTTATGAAAGTGAGATTGCTGCTTTTGATATCCTCTAGTTTTGTAATTAGCTGTACCGGCAGTATGCTGGATGAACTTCAGCGGAAGCCGGGCAACGTGTATCATGGTAGGTAAGTGGGAAGGCGATCCGTCCGAACGAAACCGCGTCGTCCGTCGTTATTTCCCTTGGTAATTCGTCGCCTCGTTCGTTCTTCTACCACCTCGGAACGAGAATTCCACGTATCTCCCGAAAATTGGACCGCTCACCCGTCCCGTAGGATGAGCGCTTCCGAAGGTGGTGTGCCAAAATACTGTCGATCGCGTCGCGAAACCCCGACGTAGGCATGCATCGCATCGCAAATCCTTCTCTCGACAACCCACGTCTCGTCGATTCCCCCGCGTCGTCCTATTTCCGCGGATGCGGAGTTTCCATCGGCTTCTAAGCGTCGAGAATGATTTCTTTACTCCGCTGAAGGATCGAGTGCAGTCTTTCGTAACTTTTGGCCCCCCTCTGTCTCACCGGGTGAACCCGAAACGCGTCTCCCTGGGACACGCGGTTTCCTCATCCGTCGATGGTCGGACCGTTTGTAATGTGAAAACTCGTGGAAAGTCCTCCGGGAGTTGAAATTAAATGAAAACAAGAACGTTAGCGCGATTTCGCAGAGGTACATCGGCCACCTCCCCCAGGACGGAAGCGGCCCGTCCTCGGTAGACCCTCTTCCGACGAGTCGACTCCCGATTCTCTGCAATGCCGAGAAAATAGTTTACCGACGAGGGAGAGGACGAATCGGCGAATCGTGTTACACGTCCGACTGGTCGCCTCGACATCTGGCGAATCCAGATACGGATCCGCGGAACTTCTCTCTAAAGGTGAAGTTCCGTATCGTTCTTAACTTTGTACTTCCACGGGGAAGCGAGTTAAAGTAGGAAGTAAAGGGACGCTCATTAAATTTACATCGAGCACTTGGGGAACCGTCCTAAACAATTTACCGGGAAAGTTAATACGGGCTCGTCCCCGTGTTTGCAAAGTTACCACCGAGAACGGTCAATGGACGAGTTTGCGCGTATTCGCGTACACGCGTCTATGGCGGACGCGGAGCGCGACCGGAACCCTGGACCGACGGTCGGCGGTGGAGAGGAGAAACGGGAGATTTCAAGATCCTGGAAGGATCTCCCGGAGAGATCGAAGGGGCCTCCACCTTCCCCGATTACGTTTTTACAGGTGTCGTAAAGACGAGGTCGCGCGCTTTCATTTATTGCCAGGAAGAGTGCAGTCCGGATCTAAAAGGCCCCTTAAAACGAGCGCTGACTGACTATCTACCTGTTAATTATATTCCCAACGACCTATCGAGCCTGGCCACGTTCGCCAACTCCTGGGAACTCGCCGAAGAAGGATCGCGAGAGAAGGATTCTCGAGTGAAAAAATTCGTCCGCGATCCCTTCGATGTTCCAGGAGTCGGCGGTACTTTCCAGGCGATCGGGAAGAGCCGGTAAAAGTTGGCGAGGCACATTCTTCGAAATCCCCTTCCGCGGCGTCGCGGAAAATGTACAAAGTGTAATTTCGAATAGTTAGTTTGCATTATGCTCGGAGTACAAAGCCTTATCCAGGGTGACTCGCAACGGAATCCCTTTATCCTTCGATCTAAGTTCGCGCAAGTAGCGCTAAGGCATTTTCCAGGCAATTCGGCCTTGTCGATCGTTGGAACACCGAGCTTCCTCATCGAAGGTGCAGTAAAGATTTTACGGGCCGACCTCTTCCGCCCGAGTTACCCTCCGGATATCTCGCGAGCTTATTATCGTCCCATTCGAGGAAATTCGCTCGAGGAACGATTCCTCTCACCGGCCGGGCCGGAGCCGGAGTCCCCTTGTCATCCGGAGAGGCGATTAAAAGTTTCCGTTTTTTCTCCAAGGCAGATACACGAGAGACGTCGAGAGCCCGGAGTTCCTGGTGCCGCGGCGCGTCTTCCACGACGGCAGTTTCCGGAGTTACGTCCTGCCGGAGTTCTACGACCGGCGGGAGGTGGTCGGGCGCCAGAAGAGGTCCTCTTCCGAGGAGGATCGCGACCGGCAGAGGGGCGACGAGCTGCACCTCGTGCTGCCGTTCAACGGAATGGACCACCACGTCGAGCTGCAGCCTCACCACGAGTTCATCTCGCCGAAAGCGGTGGTCGAGACGAGGAGCGCCCCCCTCGACGGCGCCAACCTGAACGACGCCGTCGCGTTCAGGAGTCTGCCCGACCGGCAGTGCCACTATAGAGGCGTGGTCAGGGGCCACGACAACTCCAGAGCGGCCCTGTCCCTCTGCGACGGCGTCGTTAGTAGACCTTTCGTCCGCGTTTCGCAATCCCTCGTCGCGCCCCCGATTTCGCAACGATTGGGCGGATCGAATCGAGTCTTCGGCCAAGAGCCAAGACCGAGTCACACCCGCTGCCTTCCGTAAAAATCCCCGACCAATGGCAACGAGCCGTTCCGCTCGCGCATTCTAGAGCGAATTCGAACGTATCGCTTAATCGCATCGGCAGACCAATGCGTGGTCGAGTTTCTAGATCTGACCGGAGCTCGTTCGCCGATTGCCGTCACGCTTTAATCCGCGATTTACGATCGTTCGCCGCGGCAAATCGGCGACATTGTGGAGCAACGCGGCTCGATCTATATGCAAATGCAATTATTAATTTGCATGCGTTTAAGATGTAATAAGAGGCTCGCTTAGAGAGCTCGGCCGGGGGACGCGCGAGCAGGGACGCACCGCGTGGGTGCGCTCCCGCCGCCATCGCGGGCCTCGGAGAATGGGGAAACGTGGGACCGATCGCGGTAAAACACCGATATCGATTAAGCGCGACGATCGATACGCGACGGATGGGATCCGCCGTATAATTTTCGCTAGACGTAGGACGCGTCCGGCGCGGTCGGTCGCCGACCCTGGTCGAGGAGGACGACTCGCGCGAAGACGTCGCGGATCGTCGCCTTTGGACGCATCCGCGGTCGAAGCGATTATTCACGGATTTTTTCAGAGAGTCTTTGAGCGATAGATTAAATTCCTCGCGGTCTCTCCCGCGGTCCCCGCTCGAGAATGCCGATGCCGGGTCGGGGAACGAGATAGGATGAATAACGCGGGGATTGTTGCAGTAAAACACCGCTATCGATTAAGCAAGGTGATCGATACGTGTCCGCACGTAACGAACCCGATATACGCTGTTGTCCCCTCCCCGTGAAACGCCATTGGAGCTAAGAGAGTCGGATACGAGTGATCGCGATAAACCGTAGACAGAGCAGAATAATTAACGGCGAAACGTTAAAAAATATTGAATATTGAATATTTCCGCGGTTGATGTCGTTACATGGGAGTGGCAACGGTAAGTGGTAAATAAATTTTAAACCAGAGAGCTCGGATAAGATGAAAAGCGTAGGAACGGTTGCGGTAACGCACCGCCAGAGGTATTGCGGGATAAGCGATATACTTAGTAATGAAATCGCATGTGCAGGCCGGCTACGTACAGACCAATCAAGGACGATATTTCATCGAGCCAATAAGCGAGGCGGAACCTGCAGCGGACGGCCAACACGTTCACATGGCTTATAAGAGATCAGCCCCTCACGAAAGGACCGAAGGAAGGGAACGGAGAAGTCATTGCGCAACGGACGGTTAGCTTTTCTTCGCACGTTTTAAATCGCGCGCCCGAATTATCGTTCTTTCGGCGGAACCGGTACGAGCTGACGACTCCGATGTTAACAGACAACTGGGAAGCCGCTTGGGCCGAACAGTTGGCCAAGAGGCAACAACTTTTGGAGAATAACCCAAACGCTCTGAAGCGCAAGGAGCCGTCATCCGGGACGCACAGTATTCATCGATACATCGAAGTCGCCTTGATCGTCGACAGACGATTTTTGGACTACCACAATGGAACCAACTACGAGTCGTATCTCCTCACGATCATGAACATGGCGTCGGATTTCTACCACGACGGCTCCACCGGAAACCAAATAGACGTGGTCATAGTCAGAGTGATCTACTTGGAGCTCCAGAAGGACGAGGTAATGAGAAATCCACCAACGACGAGAGTAAGGGAAAAAATAATGGGGCAGTTTCCACCATTCGTCCGTGAGATGCCCCACCTTCCGATCGTTGATGCAATATGCTTATAGATAGACTTGCACATTAGCCCAGCGGCGGAGAAAACGTTGGACAGTTTCGCTGCGTGGTCGAACAAGATGAATCCTAAGGATCACGATCATCCGAATCATCACGACATTGCCGTTCTGGTTACCCGGTGGGTCTGGAAATTCGGATGTTATCCGGACCCCGAATTCCGATTACATCGTTTCCTTTGACAGATACGACATATGCGCCTCGGACAGCGGCTGCGACCTCCTGGGTCTGGCTTACGTGGCTGCAGCTTGCGATCCGGAGAAAGCAGCTTGCATCAACGAGGACGCCGGGCTTGTCCTGGGCATCGTGATAACTCACGAAGTCGGCCACGTGTACGTACAAGTTCCGAAGTAGTTTCCGTCCTACGTGCCGCGTTGATCACTCGTTCCTCTGCCCCGTAGCATGGGGTGTTCCCACGATACGGTAGAAATCAGCGGATGCGAGCCCGAAGACAAGGATGGCAGCCAATTTATAATGTCGCCGTACGTCGGGATGTTCACGCTGAGATGGTCGGCTTGCAGCAGGAAGTTCATCACCTCGTACCTCGAGTACCAGATCCTCGTTCTCGCGCACGACAATTGCCTTCTCCTTGACGTGCCTCTTCTATTGTGCTTTTTACCAACCGTAGGAGCGGTCTCGGTGATTGCTTGAACGACGATCCCCGAAATCCACCGGAGAAGTACAAGTACCCAGGGATGCTGCCGGGTGCGATGTACGATGCCGAGTATCAGTGCGACATGGGTTTTCCTGGATCGAAGTTGTGCGATTTGGGCCAGGTGACTGCAGGAACCCTTCCTTCGTGCGAAATTTTCCAGGACCGTGGTCAGCGACCGAAATTTTTTTTCAGGGTGATTTCTGCAAGCAACTCTGGTGTCGGATGGGCGGTTCCTGTAAATCTAAAGGCGATCCACCCGCCGAAGGAACAAAGTGCGGCGAAAACAAGGTCTCGTTAAACCGTGCCTTCCATGTAGCCTTTCGGATTTCGAAAATAGAAATGCTCGTTAATTGTTCCGTTTTGCCTGCAGTGGTGCATTCACCAGGAATGCGTGGAAGCGGGTTCGCGACCAGCAGCGGTTAACGGCGGATGGGGCGAATGGAACCCTGCGGGCGAGTGCTCCAGGACGTGTGGAGGTGGCGTTAAAACGTCTGAAAGGGAATGTAATAAGCCTGCTCCGGCCAACGGGGGCAGGTACTGCATAGGAGAGCGGAAAAAGTACTCTACCTGCAACACGACTGTGAGCACGAGTTTCTAAACCACTTAACAAATGGAAAGATCTACTCTCTAATTCTGGAATTCTCGATCCAGCCTTGCGATCCGAACAAACCATCGTTTCGTGCAGTTCAATGCGCGGAGTACAATAACCAGACGGTTCTGTCGGATGGATTGCACACTTGGTCCCCTTATCTCATGTCGGACAAAGACGTATGCGCTCTGTACTGTATCAACGAACGGAACACCTATGTGAAGCTGTCACCAACGGCGAAAGACGCTACACCGTGTAAAGGAGGAACAAATCATATGTGTCTCGCCGGGGCTTGCAGGGTATCCACCCAAGAGGAAATTAAATACTCGGCACTGGTGCTTTAATATTTTTAATTTTCAGAAGGTAGGCTGTGACTGGGTAATCGATTCGGACGCGATAGAAGATCAATGCGGGATCTGCAAAGGCGACGGCACCCAGTGCAGTCCTGTCGAGGGGACGTTCAAAAATAAGGGAAAAATGAGTACGTCGATGAAGATGAATCGTCAAAGAATTGGATATCGATCATTTAAACGCGTGACTGTATACGTTAACGTAACGCATGTACAACGAGGTGAAATTATTCAACAGGTTACAACAAAGTTGTGACGATTCCGAAGGGAAGCAGAAGTATAACGATATCGGAAAAAGACGAGAGTATGAACTGCTTGGCACTGAAGCCGGAAAAGGGAGATAAATATTGCTTGAACGCGGATTTGTAAGTCTCCGGCACCGTTCTCTATTCATCGTAAATGAAAGGCGGAACGAGCACTCGTCTCTTTGCGGAGTTGATTTTCGAAATATTCACGATCTTTTCAGCCGGGAAGAAAGAAACGGAGAGTACGAATGCGTCGGGGCTTTGGCTATATACTCGCATCCATTACCGCAGAAAGAGGAGATCGAAATAAAAGGACCCATTAAGGAAGATCTTCAAGTACAGGTACAGCTTGTGCCAGGTGTTAGAAACTCTTAAACCACCCATCGAATGATCGTTCGTACTTCGGAGTAAAGATAGAATAGATTTTAATAGTATTAAATTGTGGCAGTACGTGTTCTTCAAAGCAGACGAGAATCCTGGGATACACTACAAATACTATGTCAAGTCGACTAATTCGACTTATACCCCGAAATACATTTGGGAGTTTGTCGACTGGTCTTCGTGCAGTGCGAAATGCGGTGGTGGTACAATGGTAAAATAATTGCTCGCGCTATCACGGTGTTCTACAATTGTATTAAATTGCAAATAATTGCGTTAAGAAACTGTCCGCGTATATTAACAGATTTCTGAAGCATCCTGCGTGGAACAGCAAGCCGGGAAAGTGACGCCTAATTTTTGTAAATCCATTCCGAAACCGGAACCGAAGAGTCGAATATGCAACGAAAAAACATGTCAGCCAAAGTGAGTTAATCCACTGCTTTAAAAGTATCCTCGAATATTTTTTGACAAGATTTTTTTAATTCAAGCTAAATTTTGGAATTACGTCTATTTAAATTTTTTTTTGTTCAGGTGGCGAGTAAGTCAATGGAGCAAGTGCAATGCCTGCGACGGCAAGAAAGGCATCAGGCGTCGAAAAGTGCAATGCGTGAAACCAGCGGCTCATCCCGGAGGCGATGACGTGCAAGCGAATCTGAACGCATGCAAAGGTCGAGTGCCAAAGCAGCAAGAGGAATGCGTCGGCACGAGACCTTGCCGCAAGAAGTGTCCAAAGAAAACTCGCGAGTCGAAAACGGAAGACGTCAAGGATCTGGAGAACAGCCGAGGCCTGACTATCGAGGAACAGCGCCAAATGCTGGACAAGGTTGTGGACTTGGGAATAGCACGCTACTTGGAAAAGTCTTTCGGAGGATCCGTCTTAAAGTCGGAGAAACGAGATGTAGCCGATGATTTCCGACAGCTACTTCGAGAGTGGGTGAGAAACACCGAAGACAAGCGCAAGAGAAGCACTCAGTGCCCCGAGGGCAAGAAATTCACGACGCCAAAGCCGGGGACCATCGTTAAGGATACCATCAGACCGGACCGTGCCCGGTTGTATGTCGCACCTATCAGAGACGAATTTTTTGTCTCAAATATGTCGGATAGAGGCTTCCAGGAGGAAGGCGACGTTGCACCCGTGGCCATTGACACGAAACAAGAGAAGATCTACAAAGGCGCGGAAGCCATCAAGCTCATCGGAGAAATGGTTAACCACAATTCCACTGGAGGAGGGGATAATACATCTTCCACTGGAAAACAGTGCTCCACGACCCCGGTTACCGAAACCGAGACCTAAAACTCGGGGGGGAAAGCTGATCCTAGAGCTTTCGCCTCGCTAAGCGTAAGATTTTCAACGATGTAATGAGATTGAGAATAAAACTTAATTTGCGCCGATTTAAAGCACCTTTAATCCGTTTAGCTATATTTTTTATAATCACGACACCACAAGTATGTACATATTCATGACGAGAGTGGAAGAACCGTGACGGACTTGATCGTAAAAATAGAATTCGTAATCTAGGAGTAGCGATACACTAGTGACGATCTCGATTCCTACGCGAGGGGAAACCGAAATTCTCTCTTATCCCAAAAGGGCTAAGACGCAAAGGCTGAAGGAAATGGGATAACGCGTTATTGACGAGCCCCTGGCTGAATCAATCTCATACGGCAAAATGAACTTTCCTCAAAGTATTTCCGTATGAAATAGGTAGCACGGTACATTTTTGTGGTCGATCATACGACCGATTAGTATAAGCGTCCTGGAACGATCTCGAGGACCAATCTTCATGGTGGAGGCGCTTCCGGCGTCGTTTTTCCCTCCTCTTGTATCCTCTGGATATATCTAATGGCATCCAAGCCGGCCAGTGTGAAATCCGTCCCATTTTCTGGCGGTTGTGGCTTAAAGTCTTTAGGGAAGTTGATTATGTTGTTGTCCTCATCGCGTTCGAGTATGATGGTCAGCGTAAGATTCTTGATGTCCTCTTTGTCGATGACCACTTGACCCTTCTTTATTTTATGGACCTCAATTGGTCTCTCGGTACATTCATCGGTGTTCTTTTTGGCCAGCGCATTTGTATGCTTTTGGTTCCTCTTCGATCTCTGGCCATCTTCGGAAGTGCTTCTACGAGGCATCTTCGACCCGATTTTATCCACCTCATCGAAAGTATTTTCATCGTATGACGTGTTCTCTGCATCTTCACATTTTGCGAAACCAATGTCTTTCATCTCGTTTTCTACGTGATCGTGGAACCCACCGGTGTTCCGTTGATTGGTTCTCGATTGTAGACCTCGTCCAATGGTAGAGCCGTCGGTTAAGGCGTCATCCTCTATTCCGGCCTCATTATCTTCCCAATAACCCCACCAGGAACTATCTCGACGTCCCCGGAAATTACAATTTTCTGACTCCTTTGGCTTTGGACCCTGACAGTAGACATCAGAAATGATGTCCGCCTCCTGTTCTCCGTGACCAACGGGACGAATGCATTTCACTGCTCGCGTCTTTCTGCAACCCGGTGAACAAGGTACGCAACCTTGCCAGTCGCCTATCATCCATCTGCAAAAAATATGTACACTTCTTCTATTTCTATCTAACGTCATCTCTGAACGCAATTCCAGGCTCTTGACATTTTTCCCACCTGGGCACACAGGGAGCCTGGTTGCAAGGCCTAACTCTGATTTCTGGTTTCGATATGTTTCTGCAATATATCTCATCGACTTGGCCTCCGATCTTCTCCACGCATCGAGGCTTTGCGACTTGTTCCCCAGGACCACACGGAGCGTTACATCTGGACCACTCTATAAAATCCCAATCAAACTCTCCTTTTCTTGGAACATCTTGCTTAAGTCCCAGGGAGAATTTCAGCGTAACGTTTTCCTTCGGGAAAACCTAGGAAATATTTTTTTTTTTAACGCAATACGATGAACCCAACTGACGTCGATATTTTTAAGTCTACCAGAATGACCAAGTCCTCCGTAATCGGTCCCGGGATATTGAGGGCTTCCTGTTTCGCTCGTATCATGCCAAGCCAGGCCTTTGATCCTGGCACATCGAACATCCCTAAACGGGTACTGAAATAATCGCACTGCGGCTTTATACCCAATACTGTTGCACATCGTCCAATAACTTAATCGGCTCGAAAACGTCATGGACTGCTTACCCGTCGATTAACACATTTTTTGCATTCTTACTCCTAACGACTATTCTTGACTTGGTCGGTTGAGCTTCCTCGACGCGAACGTTCTTCGCACCTGCTGGCACGTCCAAGATCTTCTTTAATCCTGAGAACGTACGCATTCCTTATTTTTTTCCGACCACGCGTGGGTTCATCCAAAGCAAAAATATCGTACGAACGTGTTTGTTCCCCCAGTACCAAAGTTCCTTCCTTCAGAAGACAGGAAGTACTGTCACCCTTGCACACCCCGCATACATCTTCGACTGCCTGAGATTCCATGTCCAGATCGCACGGGATTTCTTTGCAGATCCCACCTATGCAGATATCACGAATTCCTCTGTAACACGTCGTTCCATCGACCACTTTCGGCTTCAAGGATGTCAACAACTTCGTCTCGCTTAGGCAAAAAAGGACGCAAGGATTCTCCGAGGCCTTCAAATCTTAAATAAAAATCATCGTGTTAATTTGGGGCAGCATCCACTTCCACGTACAATTCGGCAAGAACCTCTTTCCTTTGGAAATGCATAGGTCCGAGGTAGATTCTTCCAAAAGCCTACCACCGAAAGAAAAAATTTGTTAGCAAAAATAATCATATTCACAAATAGTCTCTAGCGGAGTTATAAATACAGGGTGATGTTAAAATTGACGACTACGTGTCGAAACGCCCGCTGACTCCGAGCCTAGCTATCGGAGGCCATCTTGATTCATTAATATCCTACGTCCTACATCCTCCTACACGGTGCCTCTGTACCAATCATCGAAGGCGCGATACGATTTGTAATTCTTACTTTCCGGTAGGTTGTATCCCACCCACTGATGGACTTTCCCGTCCTCGGGGAAGATCCAGTCGTTGAATTCTGCGCACTGGACATCCCGAAAGGACGGCGCGCCGATTTCGCAGGGCTGCGGAGATACCAAGACGAGTCAGATCCTCGAAATTCGTATCTGCCGGATTTCTTTCGACCGGACGCTTACATCGGTGGCACATATCTTGTGACGCTTCGCGTTGCCGCGACAATAATCTCCGCCTTTCGATGCCTGGGGATGATTGCATTTCCTGATCGAGGAGGAGACCCCCGAACCGCAGGTCCTGGAGCACCTGCTCCAAGCCGACCAGGGTCCCCAGCCCGCGTCCACTGCCCCGGGTCGTTCTCCGATCATCAAGCACCGCATTTGGTAGCACCACTAAAAAAGCGCCGACCGGTGACAGGGATATTTTACGTTCTCTCGTGCCACGGCTAAACCGGCGGTTCGCGAGCGGAGATTAAATCCCGAAAAAGTAGGATTTTCATCAGTCGGTGGAATCAATTACGCGGAGGTACGCGTCATTCGAGCCGCGAGTGTCGTCCAACGAGCAGGCAATTGTTTTCCTAGATTAGCGGGGTGGAAAAAATGAAAAATAAAGGGGGCAATTAGCGAGGCGAACGAGGGAGCTTCGGCCGATCGGCATTTCCGCTCGTCGCTACAATCTGTCAAAAGGGGGGAAAAGGCAAAGGAAAATTCGCGAGTCCATTTTGCGGAATGACCGTGGTTCTAGGTGAACCTCGGCACCTCGACACGAGCAATTAGAGATTGCCTATTAGCGATGTTCACAGATGAGCAGTTGGTACGCGAACGCGATTGTCGCCAATGCGTGACAATGCGTTTACTCCCGCGCGTACGCGAGCGCTAATGACTTTCGTCCTCGTACACCGTGGCGGATGAAAGCTCTGTCCAAGCCATTAAAACTGTCATGCGAATTCGCGAAATATTTGGATACGAGGCCACGTCGGAGCGCAATTATGTTACACGGAGGAATTCCCCTTTGCCAATGAAAATTCCCTTCCCGTGCGGTCCCATGTGGAGTCTTATGGCAAATCCGACTTGATTGCATCGGGCAAGTGCATTAACGGCACGCGGACCTGTTTGGTTTGCAAATGAGTTCGCAAATAGACCAGTCACGCCGAAAATGAAGTGCCCCGTAGCACCGCTCGATAGGACGTCGAATTCGCGACCAAATTGGATCCGTGGAAGCCCATTTGTCGATATTGCCTAAAAAGCCGAAGGAAACCGTACTTCGTACGTCGTGTACCAAATTTAAACCGCGGGTCGTTTTTCCGTGACATTTTCTTAATTCTACATGGAGGAGGAAAAAAATTAGGACGAGCATTTTTGACGAGAAGCTCGGCGGCAACTTTGCGGAAGATTTAATGAAATTACCCGCTTTTCCCCGCATGCGGTTCCCTCGGCCGGAGGTCTTTTCCCAGAGATGCACCCTTTGCCGGGCACGGCACATTTTAGCGTCTCGCAGGTCTGAAATAAAGGATTAACCGGATTATTAAGCAATTTTTGAAGTAAATTGAAAAGTACGAAATGACCGGAGCCAGGTAGCGAGTGGATAAGGCAGATCTCTGGTCGGCTCGCGCGAGGACTCGAGACGCGACCGCCAGATGGCGTTAACCTCCAGTCTGGAGAAATGGCGGCCCGAGACGCAACGACGTTGTTCGAGAGCGATCGAATGCCTTTTCTATGGAGATTATTCAAGGTAAAGAGTCTAAGTCTTACAATTCCTATATCGCATTGCCGGACGTCTTGTCGATACCGCAATCTACACTGATCGTCCCCGGTGTACATTACACCCGGGAGCATTTCTATCAACGGGAATTGATGATCCTGGGCTTCGTCCAGTAAACATGTTGCCAAGCCGGCCCTAAATCGGAAAAGTGAAACAATAGGGGAACGGGTCCGTGTCCGAAATAGAACTCGAGGAGATAATTCGAATGTTCTTACTCCAAATACAACTTGACATAGCTCTGGGAACACTTGGACCATCTTTTGGTTATGTAAAAATTCCCGGGATGCATCACGGTAGTCTCTATGTAACCGTTTGGATGGATAATTATTCCGGAGCAACCGTTTTCCTCTTCCACGTCGTGAGACATGCCAATTCTGAAAGAATTCAAGAGAAATTCCGTTCCCTGTCGATCGATTCGATAATGAAAATCATACGTATGGCCTATATGATGAGCTATGTGATATCCCGTCTCCAGGCCATTATCCTTCACGACTGCTGCACCTTTTAGAGGGTCGCAAGTCCCGGCGATTGTAGTCATCCCCGTGAAGGCACACAGAGTCTGGGACATACATATTTCTGTCCTGCCGGATTATCGGTCGTTACGCGCGTTTCGACGGAAATCAATTTTCGCGATAAATGAGTCGGTAGAGTACTTGGT